AATAAAGTCTAACTGGTTAGTAATGTGTGAAGTTGGTGTTGCTGTCTGTGGAGAGGTCCTTTTTTTCTGAGGTCACCGGTCTCATGTGGGGGCCCTGGAATATTTCCTCATGGGGGTCTTGGGGGCAAAAAAAAATCTTCACGAAACAGACTGTATTTTAATGTTGTTTTAACCCTTTCCCCAACTAAACTAAGGGACTAAGAGAGAGTTAAAGAACCTTTAAAGAACTATACAGGGGCTTACAGGTTTTACGGTAGTGGTGCTGTATAGCACCTTAACCGCTCCAAAGAACTGCTGAAGAACTGCTGAAGAACCATACAGGGGCTTAACAGGTTCTTTATACGGTAGTGGTGCTATTTAGCACCTTAACCACTCCAAAGAACCGCTGAAGAACCTTTTTTTTTTAGAGTGTAGTATACTCGTACTGATGAAGTCTAGGCACTGGGACTAATGGTCTGTTGAATTATTGCCAGAATTCTCAGTGGGCTTACCTGGTTTAGGAGGTTTTTCACCAGCTCCTAAAAAATATGTCTTTTACCACAACAATAAGACATACCATTCAAAAGTTTGGGGCCAGTGTGTTTTTTGTTTTGTTTTCACTTGTATTAATCAAGGAATTATATGGATCAAAAGTGACAGCAAAGACGTTTATAATGTTACAAAAGATTTCTATTTCAAATAAATGCTGTTCTTTTGAGCTTTTCTATTCATCTGTGAATCCTGAAAAATAAAACGTATCAGTTTCCACAAAAAAATATTGTACAGCACAACTGTTTTCAACATTGATAATAATCAGAAATGTTTCTTGAGCAGCAGATCATCATATTATACTGATTTCTGAAGATCATGTGACACTGAAGACTGGAGTAATGATGCTGAAAATTCACCTTTGATCACAGGAATCAATTACATTTTAACAGATATTAACATCTTTTTTAAATCTGTTTATTGCTTTGCTAATTCAGTATATGGATTGGCATACTAGTAAGCGTGCAAGTGCGTGTACTAGTGTGGATGACCTTGAAGAGATCTTACCAGCTCCATAACCTCCAGCCCCTAAAGCTCCTGTTTGAGTCCCAGCAGCACCTCCATATCCTCCTGCTGAACAAAGATTGGTTCATTAGCATCCGTCTCACGTTTATAACACACTTTATCTGTGTCCTCATTACACATTACATGCTATCAACTTCCTTACAGCATCTGGACATGGCAAGATGTGACCTCACCGACTGCCACAGGAGGTGGACTTTGACTTTTATGGCAGTTATATTAGTAACGACAGCTCACTTTTACTGAAACAGCTTGTCAGCAAACACATGAGTTTGAGAAATAAGACGGTAGTGTTATCATCCTTGCTGAGCATCAGGTTTATAATATAGTACTAAGCAAGTACTGTATTTGCTAGTACTCGCTAAATTTACAAGTGGCAGCTTGCCCACAGTTCATCCACACAGCCTTGAACAGTTCATACTTGACTCTTGCCTTAATATAGGTATATACTGTATATCCATGTGGTTTTATAGTGTGCACTTGATAGCCAACAGATATTACAAAAATATGATAATATTGGAGTTTTAAGTTAAAGGATGGAACTCAGAAAAATAGTATTCTGATTTAGTGGGATGGGAGCAAGGCGCTTGTACTGCAGCCAAACGCATACATGAATCTGTCTGATTGATTGTTGGGTTGTTTGGATGGTTGGTTGATTAAGTGAATTAATGAATGAGTAAAAGAGCAGATGATAAAATGATTCAATGAGATCTCAAGGATGAGAAACAATACAGGTTTCTGGTCTCAATGGTCTCAAATCAACCTACAGTGTTTATAATCAAAGCAAAATGATCTTACCTGCTGCTTTTGCTGCTTTGTATTGGGACGTCCCAGCACCTGTTAAAACCAGTAAAGTTAGAGCACTATCAGTGCAGATGAGTTCGCATCTTGTCAAATGTAAGATGAAGATGGTTCAGCTTTACTCTCAGACACCACAAAGCTTGTGAAATGCATCACATCTTTGGAAGACTGTGAAGAGTTTTGGTTGAGACATCTAGTGTCACAGTCTTCAGCCGGTGTGCCCAGGAGGGCCACCAGATGACTGTGTTCTGGGAGCACATGGCTTGTGTTGTGTTTGTCTGTTGCCATGTGCTCTCTCCTGTCTATTGTCTGGCCCCTCCCATCTTGTTACCTCGTTATTGTTTTAGTTGCTCCACCTGTGTCTCCCTCGTTAGCCTCCTCGTTTGGTTCCTATTTATTCTCCTTGTGTCTGCCGTCCTGTGCTGATCCGTCATTTCTCATTGTGTGTGTTTCGTGTCTGCATGTGTGCAGCTTTAGCTCTGCCTGTCTGTTTTTCCCCCTCGGGGTGGTTTGAGTTTGTTTTTGTTTCATTTTTTACCAAAATAAAGTACCATTTCTCCAGCGATTGAGTCCTCGCTTCATCTCCCCGCACGCACCGTGACACTCAGTAGTGCTGCATTCTTAGTTGAAACGCTTGCGCGGAAAGTTTGTGTGTCAGATGTAACCATTAAAATGCGACTTTGTGAAATGGACTGTCCTAAATTGTTGCTATAGTAGCATCATATTAATGCTAGAAAGCCTATGCATTTGGCAACTGTATTTTTTAAATAAACCATTATATTTCATAAATAAAATCTATTTTCACACTCATCTTGAGTGAGGGGGCGGGATAGTCTGAGTGAGACGCCCCCCCCGTGGCGCCGGCCCTGGATATGATTACACTGTTTTGCGCCAGTTAAGGCTTTGAAATAACGGTGAAGAAAAAAATAAATTTCCACATAGACTCATCTATTTATATGAATATAGTGTGTATTTCATAATGATTGTATAACATAATATAGCATAACTGTGTAATAACAAACGTATTGGCTTGAAATTAATGGGGCTATCAAATGTGTGTAAATCAAGTCTTTGCTCATAACAGGCAGGAGGGCCAATATTATTAGTCTAAAACTGGAAAGTGGTTGAGTTTAACAGGGCAGAGGACAGTGAATTTACAAGATTCGAACTGCTTCCTGAACCACCCTGCGTTCCATTGTCCTAGGGCATAGGGCTCATCCCTATGCCCTAATCCATTCAAAGGGTTTACCCTTCGGAGTGAGAGCCTCGAAGGGTTGAAGGGTGTAGGTGACCAAACAACTGATTCTTGAAGTGCGTTTCTGTGTCATCATCACTTGCCCACATGGAGGCACCGTCATCATGCAAAGACTCTGCGCAAAGGATCATGGGAGCCCGAAGTGTCCATTAGTTGTACCCTTCGAAATCCTTCATTCCGAAGGGCCCTTTGGAGAGGCCAGTTTTGAGCACTTCGTTTGGCATGACCCTTCAATAGGGCGGCCATGATTGTTTTCACTCCGAAGTGCCCTTCAGAGGGCGATATGTCCCATTTGGAACGCACCGCCAGTCTAAGCTTTGGATGTCATCAGTTATGTCATTGCTCTAAAGCGATACAAGCCTCGATACGCGCTTGTTGTTGCTATTGTTATGATTATTATATTTTAAATGTTAAATATAACTATTCTTTTTTTTTCTTTTTTTGATACTTTATAGTCTGCGACCACACTAACAATCTGGATGTAAAAAAAAATATAAAATAAAAATAATAATAATATTATAAATGTTACTTGTTTCATTATGTTTAATATTCATATTCTTATTCACATTCAAATACTATAAAATATTTTATTAATGTACATTTACATTTAGTCATTTAGCAGATGCTTTTGTTTCTCAAAGTAACAGGTGGCGTCTGATTAATATGTGTATGTGTGTATATGAGAAGCTCTATTCTTGTGAGGACACAATTTCTGAAAATAGCCCTTGAAGAAAAATGTGTGTGCATTTGTGTGCTTTTGTTCAAGTGTGAGTACAAAACGTTCACCAAAGCCTTCCACCACCCTAATAATGAATTCTTCCACTGGTTAAATATTACCCACTCCTGACCCGGGGCTTCACCCTACATACATAAGCAGAACTAAATTAACTTCTCAAACTCCAGAGACACAGAACCAGGCCGGCCGGACAAACCTCAAAGAAGCAAACAAGAGGAAATCACACTCTATATAAACACAGTGTAAAGCTGCAAATGAGCCACATGGCGGGATGAAAAAACAATTGAATGAGTTAATAAAAAAATAAAAATAAAATAAAATAAATAAATGCATTGTCTACTGCTGTTAGAGGAATCTCTTGGGGAAAGAAGTGTGCTTAATTGTAGGCTACTGCGTGTGCATTTTCTGTGTACTTCAAATCTTAAAAGAATATTTTTAAAAACTCTACTTAATTAATAAAATAAAAAGCAACTTGTGTACTTAAATTTCAGTCTCTTTAAGTGCATTTTGAAAAAGTTACAAATTTTATTTTAAAGCAACTGAATGTAGTTTTGTGTAATTTTTGCGACTTTGGAGCCCTCTACAGTTCAATGAGTGGAATTCAATGTCGTAAGTATAGTTTGTGCATGCATTTGTTGCTACCGTAAAGCAATCCGTCATTTTGGCAGTAATTCGTTCCCGCTCACCAAACGTACATTCTCCTGAAAGAGACTAACAAACAGAAAACAAAAGACATTCGCCTTTTTTGAAGTCAGTGTACCATCAGAATGACTTTGAAACTGATATTTTATGCTTATGTCAATATTTTATTACTCTTTTGTCGTGCTTTAAAGAAACGTTGACTAACTAAAGCGCAAGTAATGTGTTGTTTGATATTACATTTAAAGTTAATAAATTTTTAAGGGTACCAAATTTCTACGTAATCATTACAGACAGGAATTAATGAATAACAAACAAGTTTCAATAGAAATGATATTAAAGTACATTTGAGTTTATCGTACAGTAAATGCTTGTCAGGACACTCTTTAACCATATTTCAAAGACAATAATTACAAAATTACATATAAAGATGTACCGGATGTCACAGTCTTCAGCGGGTGTGCCCAGGAGGGCCACCAGATGACTGTGTTCTGGGAGCACATGACTTGTGTTGTGTTTGTCTTTTGCCATGTGCTCTCTCCTGTCTATTGTCTGGCCCCTCCCATCTTGTTACCTCGTTATTGTTTTAGTTGCTCCACCTGTGTCTCCCTCGTTTGGTTCCTATTTATTCTCCTTGTGTCTGCCATCCTGTGCTGATCCGTCATTTGTCATTGTGTGTGTTTCGTGTCTGCATGTGTGCAGCTTTAGCTCTGCCTGTCTGTTTTTCCCCCTCGGGGTGGTTTGAGTTTGTTTTTGTTTCATTTGTTACTAAAATAAAATACCATTTCTCCAGCGATTGAGTCCTCGCTTCATCTCCCCGCACGCACTGTGACATCTAGTAGCAAGTCAACACGATATTCACTTGAGTAGTATCAGATGTTGTATTTGAAATCTATTCTGTGAGCTCTGATTGAAATCACAATCACCATCATAGCCAGTGTAATTTCGTCATTTGGTATAAATGATGAACAAAGCAGTGAGCGGACCATGGCTGTAGCTGGTTATACCTGGGTAAAGTCCAGCACCTGGTAGCAATCCAGCAGCTCCTGGTCCTGCTCCAGCTGAACCCGGTGGCACATACACCCCTGAAACAGAAAAACAAGCATCATCAGGGTCTGTCTTTCATGTTTCCCAACCCTGACACGCAAGGAGAAGAATTCAGACAAAAGCTGTGTGTCTCTGAGGAAATCTGATTCTGAACATGCTGAAGGCCTTGAAAAGCATTTCTCTGGACATTTAGCTGATGTCAGTCACTGCTTAGGAGTTCATGAATGGTATACGGCCTTCAAGTGAAGTCAAAAATATAATTTTGGTCAGAATCGAATGAACTCATTTTGGTTTCACATGTCTTTCGCTTTTCTTTCTTCCCTGACAAAACAGGAGGCTTTAAAGCACTAATACAACAGAATGACGAGAAACGAATGGACATCATGTGTGAAACTGATGCTTTGTTATTCTTCTGCTGCTACAGAGGACGACATTGGATGTAGTTGTAGCACAAGCCTTATAAAGTAGCTTAATGAGTGGTATTTTACATTTACATTTATGCATTTAGCAGATGCTTTTATACAAAGCCACTTGCAAAAGAGGAACGATGCAATTTGTCAAAGAGCCAACAATTTGGTAATACACAATACCAGGTTTATTAGACAATTCGATTCGGAAGTGAGCTAGAGAAGAGGAGAAATGCAGAGAGCAAAAACTTTTTCAGAGTGTGTATGTGTGTGCGTCTGGGATGGTTAAGTGCTTGCGGAAAGTGCTTTTTCCTGAAAGCTTTATCCTTATGTAACATCAATAGTATAACAAATGTGTACAAACTAAATTTCTTTGCCCAGTCAACTTAATGACAAACTTATTTTGATTGTGAACCAAATTGATTACCATGATATGTAAGAACCCTAGCATTAGCAATACTGTATGGAAAGGTTAGTCTCATGTAGTGGGCTACAGTGCATGGGCTCATGATGGGTGGGCCGGTTGGGTACAATGCTCTACGACTGCTAACAGCCTCCCATGAGGTCTTGTTAGCCCAGGCATCAATTATAAAGTTACATTTCGAAGCCAGACCCGGTTTGCATCACAAAATTGTGATGGAGAATGTGAACAGACCCTATGATGACAAAGCTTTTTAATAGCTTTTGCATGTTCCTCGAAGGCCATTTAATCGAATCCATATGTCCCCGCTTCTTTTGTGTTTATTAGCAGCAATGCAGTAAGCATGGTCTTTTATTATGGAGTTGCACGAATACCCTGTCATTATTCAATAACGAATTATAGATGCTTTATTTTCATTATTATATATTATTATAAAAATTAAAATTAAAAATTAAACAAATCAGCTACTCAAGGCCAGTGTTGTCATGTGAAAGAGAAAGCCACACATGGGAAGAATCATTCACAGTCAACGGATCAGGTGCTGAGATTAAAACTACAAAAGCAAGCTGTGAATTGCCCTGGCATTGACTTGCAGATGAGGCAGTAAAGAAATGGAACAAAGATCTTAAATAAGCTAGTGGAAAGTTTACATATACTGTCATCTTGCCGAAACCTTCACACGCTTTGCAAGGGCAGAACATTATCGCACAGCTTCAAAACATGATTAAGGGTGACACAAATGTTTAGTCTGGGGCAGGCTACACTTTTGCTCTTGGAAAAAAAGCTTACAAGTTGGGTTTTCATTTGCCTTCACAGTGGTGCAAGCTTTCTGAAAGAAACCTGCAGAAAATGGTGCCATTTGTGTGCTGTATGTGTCTCCATGACGTACTGCTGATATCAGTAATAGTAAATAGGCCAATTTCTGTCTTACCTTTCATTTCTAAGGTATTGGAGAAAATTGTGCTGGATCAACTTCAACATTTTTTGACAAGTAATTGTATTTATGAGGTTTTTCAATCTGGTTTTAAGTCTGCTCACAGTACTGAGTCTGCCCTCTTGAGAGTGTTAAATGATATTTATCTCTCCACTGATTCTGGAGACCCTGTGGTTCTTATTCTTTTAGATTTATCGGCCGCTTTTGATACAGTTGACCACTCCACACTATTAGTCCTGGGTGGGTCTAAAAGCTACTGTACTTAATTGGTTTCAGTCATACCTGTCTGACAGAAAGTTTTAGAGAAGCTGGGTAATATTACCTCTTCCAATGCACCTCTGACCTGTGGCCTACCGCAAGGCTCTATATTAGCTCCTTCTCTATTTTCTCTCTACATGTTACCTCTGGGCTCTATTCTAAGGAAACATGGTGTCTCTTTTCATTTCTATGCAGATGATACTCAAATCTATCTACCAATCAAAAGAAATTCCGCAGTGATTACCTCTCTTCAGCAATGCTTAGAGGAGGTTAAATTATGGCTCGGACAAAATTTTCTCTCTCTAAATGAAGACAAGACCGAAGTAATTGTTTTTGGTTCTAATGAGAATTCTCAGTATATACGCCCTGATTTGGACAGTTTATCTGTTTTTAGATCTTCACAGGTGCGGAACCTAGGTGTTCTTGTCGACCAGCATTTAAAATTTGATAAACATATCTCCTCCAGTTATCGGTTCCATTTTTTATCAACTTCGTCTACTGTCTAAAATCAGAGACTTTCTCACTCCAAAAACTCTAGAAATGGCTGTTTATGCGTTTGATACATCTCGACTAGATTACTGCAATTCCTTATATTGCGGTATATCTAAATCTCAAATTGCGCGCATTCAGCTAGTCCTAAACGCTGTGGCCAGACTTCTTCTGAAGTGTCGCAAACATGAACACATTACGCACTGGTTGCCGGTTCATCAGAGAATAGACTTCAAAATTCTACTC